ATGAGTCACCTTCCTCGGTGAGAAATCATTAAGGAACGATCAGTCTGGTCTGCATAAGGCCCTGCTCTTGCCTTGGTGTTCATTCATTCATTAATTATATTTTTTATACATGATTCACATTTCCCCAGTCCAATATGTTTTATTTGTACATATTCTTTTAAAAATTATAATTCTTTTGTTCACACATATTTACTCTTACATATAATATTGTTTTATATCTTTCATTTTGCTTTTTACTGATTAACTCTTTGCATAAATAGAATTGTACTAGTCATACTAAGGTGATAAAGATAATATGCTAATTTTTAATAATCTATAGAAACATTTTAATTGCTTCATAAAATATTAGGGCATATGTCATGGTAATTATTAATGCTCTATACTTAGAGTTAATACAATTTCTTCATACAACACTTATAATTAACAAAGTGTCTTAATCAAATAATCTTGTTAACAGGCATTACAGGGAGCAGCTTAACAATATCTTTCATTTGTATAGTTCCTTAGAATTTTCAAGTCACCTACAGAAACATCTTCCAACAAGCTATAATTGGGCAAAGCAGTTAGTATTATTCCCATGTTACTTATAAAGAAGCTGAGATTACAAACACTAAAATTTGTGTCCAATATCAGCACAGTCTGGCCATTAAGGAAACAGAATTAGAACTCAAGGACTCACGGGCACTTTCTTACCCCACACACAGCTTAAAATAATAACAGCATATTAAAATAAGAATCTCTTGTAGTACATTTGAGTGTTTGGGAAACTAATAATAAACTGAAGCTGCTGAAGAATCTATTTCTTTTAGACAAGCTTTTCTAACATCTTTGTGAGCACTAACTGAATTGAGGTGTGAAATTGCACAGGACAGTGGTGGCCCTATGCATAGTAGAGATTTAATGCTTATTTTAAAATTCAGTATCTTGTAATTTAAAATAAAGATTTGATAAAAATCCACTAAAACAGAAATTGCAAAATGACAAATTTGGAAAAATAAATTTCTAACAGTCTTCTTAAAAATAATTGTTGATGAGTCTTAAACATTGACAGATTTTTTTCTGCTGATGGCTGTCAATCTGGGTATTTCATACTCAACCACAAGTATCCATGTGCTTAACATTTTGCAGACCAGGATATCACATGAGCAGCATCACTGACTGTGACTGTTAGATTTAGCTAATGTGACCGCTAAAAATCAAAGTAGAGTGTTGAAAATTTTTCAGTAATGTCATTAATTCCTAAATTATTTATGAAACCTATTTCCAGCATGTGAGTGGACTCCAAGCCACAGGTTTCAGTCACTTTCATGTATACCTAGGGAAACTGATCATTTTATCTGAAAATATTCATTTTTGATTACTTAATATAATCCTTAGCTAGAATGCCGTCAAAGACAGAGAATCCACATCAAACTTAAGTGACTGTCTTTCGGTAAGATGGAGCTTTCGTACATGAACACACCACACACACACACAAATTGCAGAGGAATGCTGTAAAAAATAAATGATTTATAATCTTACAAATACATTATATACATTAACTAGTTTCATTCTTACCAAGATTGCCAGATAGATATAATTTTTCTACTTTACAAAGAAAGATGATCATTTCTCCCAAGGTCACACGCCTGCTAAGACAGAAAAGAATTTGAAGGACTATGGCTTCCAAAAACCATTCTCTGTACCCTCTCCACAGAGCTGTAACTTTTGTTATTTAGTCTAAAATGAAGATGTAAGCCTCTGCAGAATCGTTCAAGGTTGCATATTTCTGTAAGAGCTGGCTTATCCTTCTGGAAGCTTCGTTTTTCCACCTTAATAAAACAAAGCAGGAATAGGTCTTTGTGTTCGCCATTCTTTCTATCCGTAGTGGTCATGTGCTCACCCGTGAATTCATGTCTGCTCTGGAAACTCTCAAAGCAAACTTTGAATATAATGAATAAGAGACTTCACTGCATATTTTTAAGACACACATTATTTTATTGTTACAGATAAGGTTATTTCAATAATAAGCCCTGAATGTTATGACAGTGAAATGCTAGTATAACTCTTTCCTGCCCAAAATGTATTCTCTTTAATTCCTCTATCTTTAAAGAACAATGGTTCATTTGGTTAGTATCCCATAAAGCTGGTTATAATTCTATATAAGACATTAATAATGTGATTTCTCAAATTTCAAATGCGTTAATGTGATTATATATACTTTTAAATATATTTTAGTCATATGTAATAAATGTTTGATTTTTTATTGATATCTCTGAAGTTGCAAAGAGTATGTTTCTCATCTGCCTTATTCATAAACGATTAGATAATGTCTATTTAAAGTTGCTTAAATGTTAATCTATTTTAATTAAGCAAAAATTGACATTAAATTTTATTTTGCTACTTGATGCTGTTATCACATCACTCAGAAGTGTATTTTCCAGAGTTTATACTTTGAAACAAATTGAGAAAGAAATAACATTTGGCATATAAAGGTGAAAAAAATTCTGTTTTGGTAGGGTTCCTTTGAAAGGTTTTTATTGTATTGTTTTTACTGAAGTTTACAAAGCTTATTCAGCTATGAAAAAATGTGATTTTAATTCTGCAACTGAATTTTAACATTGGAGTCAAAATGCTCATAGGATCTGATGTTCCTGTATTAGCTTGGCTGTATGTCTTAGATGTTAAACTCAAATTAGAACCCAAATAAAAGGATTCAGAGTCTGATGGATCAACCATCTCTACCAGCCATGCCAACAATGACCAGCCTGGGTCACAATCGCGGCAGCCACCTCCACACAGGTGGTGGGCTGATTGATTTCCAGTTGTTATCTCAATCAGTGCTCCAATCCTTCAAGATCAATTTTACCGATGAAGAAAGTGCAGCTTGCAGCAGAGAGTAACAGGGCTTGAGGTGGTGGAGGTGGTGGAGCTGGGATATGGCTTCTTTTATATAGGTCAGCCTGGGCTGTCCAGACAGAAGGTTGTGAGTGCAGAGGGTATGCAAATATTTTACCTGAAGTTGGTATAGTGATTGTTAACTCAAAAAATGTTGATGTACATTACCCTTTAGTTGGAACAAAAGTGAAATGATTATCTCTAGCTGAGCATGGTGGCTCAATGACTGCAATCCCAGCATTTTGGGAGGCCCAGGTGGGCAAATTACTTGAGGCTGGGAGTTTGAAACCAGCCTGGCCAACATGGCGAAACACCATCTCTACTAAAAATACAAAAATTAGCCAGGTGTCGTGGCGTGCTCCTGTAATGCCAGCTACTGGGGAGGCTGAGGCATGAGAATTGCTTGAATCTGGGAGGCAGAGGTTGCAGTGAGCCAAGATCGTGCCACTACATTCCAGCCTGGAAGACAAAGTGAGACCCTGTCTCAAAAAAAAAAAGGAAATGATTGTCTCGGAATTGGCATGAATTAGCAATAGATGAACTATTACCAACTCTCACATCTACACTAGCATTTAAAATTGACCACATTCACTAAGGCATTTCCTATATTTTTATTTCCGTGTGTTTTTACCCAGGGAGACCCATTGGTGGTCTGATACTAGGCAGGCTGATCTTCATTCTCTTTGTTTTGTTGTTAAACCTGGTACATTGTTTTTTTGTTTTTGTTTTTGTTCTTTTCTTTCCTTTCCTTTTCTTTTTCTTTCCCCCTCCCCTCCCCTCCCCTCCTCTCCTCTCCTCTCCTCTCTTCTCTTCTCTTGTCTTCTCTTGTCTTCTCTTGTCTTGTCTTGTCTTGTCTTGTCTTTTCGAGATGGAGTCTCACACTGTCACCCAGGCTGGAGTGCAGTGGTGCAATCTCGGCTCACTGCAAGCTCCACCTCCCAGGTTCACACCATTCTCCTGCCTCAGCCTCGTGAGTAGCTGGGACTACAGACGCCCGCCACCACACCCGGCTGACTTTTTTTGTATTTTTAGTAGAGACAGGGTTTCACCGTGTCAGCCAGGATGGTCTAGATCTCCTGACCTCATGATCCGCCCGACTCAGCCCCCAAAGTGCAGGGATTACAGGCGTGAGGCAGTGTGCCCGGCTCTAAGCCTGGTACATTCTTTAGTAAAGTCAAATAATTAGGTAGGAAACATTCTTGATTCTTGGTTGAACTAACTGCTGGCCTGTGCCATACATAGATATTAACTATGTGTCCCAGTCATGTTAGGTGATAGCACAAGAGCATTAACCCTTTCCTTGTTCTCACACATGCCATATTCTTAAAAATCTGAAAACAATGAAAAAATATCTAAAACAACTTTGTTTGCTTGCACTCTGATCCTTCCCTATGTTCAGATAGGAAGACGGAGTGAAGAGTGAAAGCACGCCCCTTTGCCCTGGAGCAGATAGTGGCGGTGTGCTCCTCTTGACGCTCCCGGGAAGCAGGCCACAGGTGCGTGCAGCTGAGTTCGCTGTGAAGTGGATTCAGCCTGATAACATGGAATGAATGCTGCCGTTGAAATAAAAGCCGGATGTAATCCTGCCACACTCTGTGATAGCTGTCCTACCTCCAGAGAGTCCTTTCTTCTTCCTAGACTGTAGTTTCTCATTTACAAATTAAGGGTGTGGGGCTGGAATCACGTCTAGGTCCCTTCCAACTGTCTCACTGCAGATTCCAGGATTCTCACTGCTGCTCCTTTGCGTGTGACCATGGTGCTTGATTGCCCTGCCATGTCATGTGGCTTTTTGTGAGCATCTTTACCACTTGATTAGGGAGGAATTTGTGGGATAGCATTTTTGGAAAGTGAACTTCATGGAGGTCGCCATGTTTATAGTCATTGTAATGGTGTGGATGAAATTTAAACTACCTTGTAAATAAAGAAAACTTAGACAATGGTGACTAATCCAGGGACTGGAGAGGTTGTCACATCCTTGTTAACCATTAGCAGTGTTTCCTTTAAAACAGCAGCTTTTTGCATATTAGCAAACCGAGCGTACATTGCTCATTGCCGTGAGAGGTGACAACCTGAAGGTGGTACATCCTGCAGATACATTGATCCCTTTCTGTGTTTTCTCCTAGGGTTTTCCAGGAAACACAAACGCAGACAGTGTGGTGCACTACAGACTCCAGCCTCCCTTTGAAGCCAGGTTCCTGCGCTTTCTCCCTTTAGCCTGGAACCCCAGGGGTAGGATTGGGATGCGGATCGAAGTGTACGGATGTGCATATAGTAAGTGGCCTTTATTCCCTGTGTGAAATCAAGGTCAGCATGAGATTCTGTCAAAGCCAAACTGTGAAAGCCAATGTCAGCATGAAATGTTGAACTTGACTTTTTCTGTCTTTTTAAATAGCTGGGCAAGTGGAACTGGTTTTTATGGAAAGCTTCTAGTGTCTTCCCATGACAATATGGACTGCAGTTACTGTCTTTTATAGTCGAATTTAGAGGTGGACCTGAACTGAAACTTACCTGTCTTTAGATTCCCAGAGTTTAGCAAAGTGCTTGCAATATGGTAGACATCTAATCAAACTAATACAATTCAGACTAACAACAGATGATGCTATTTTTCTGAAGCTGAGATGACACCCTGTCTGGGAAAACAGGAGTGGTTCTGGGGGCAGTGGGGTGATTTCTCGCAGTCTCTTAGTTCTCTGTGTTTTTCTCTACTAACGTCCTCTTTTGCACAGCATGCTGTCGCTTCACTTGATCTTCAGTTGGTGGGAGCCTGTGTTTAGTCAGCCTCTTTTCTCATCTATTCCTTGTTATAAAAGTGGAAAGGATGGAGCTGACATGAATATAACGCAAACAAAAAGCAGGCAGTGAAATTATTTGGTGGTACTCAGTGACACAGTTGCCACTTGATGTTCTAGAACATACTTGTATTCTTTCTTTACATTATCATAAAAATGCTTTAAAATTATTGTCAAAATGGAATAAAATTTAAAAATACCCTTGTATAAAACTGGAGAACAAATCAAAGAGTAGCCTGGATGGAAATGTCTTAACTGGCTTCGGGTCAGGCCGGACGTTCATATCACACCATTTACACACAGTCACTCCCATTCTCTGCCTAGTCACAGCTTTAGCCCTGCAGAATATTAATTTTCTAAAGCATGATAACAACATCTGTCATTCATGCAGCATTTATTGTCTCGGATACTATTATTTCCATTTTATTACTTAACCCGTGTACAACCCAGTTAATTTCTTCAGTCTGCCTCTGTTTTTTAGTGTTTACACTTCTACAGGGCTAAATATAATGGTGTTGCTTTACCAACAGTCTTTTTTCTTCCACTTATTGTTCATTCCCTTCCATCCCTGTTTTTTTTTTCTGGGGCCTATAACTGTGCTGTCTGTTTCAATGGCTAAGATGTCCGATATTTAGAATTTCTCTTTGATGCTATGAAATTACCTTCTCCTCTCATTACTCTGAAACAACTTCAGGTTTACTGACTTCAAAGTAGAACATGCTCTTTGATGGGATTTGCCATTAACTTGATGTTCCTTCATGAAGAGGTATTACTGCAGTTCCTTGGGCTGGAGGTTGGTACCAGGAAGATCAAAGCGCCATGCCTGATTCCAGGAAGGGCCAGTGGGCGATGCAGCTGCCATGCAATCTGCTGGCACCATTAACTTCTGTAAACATGCTGTTGGCCATAAGGGATTACTAGTAAAAAAAAAACCCAAACATGCAGACAGATAGTATATGACCATTGCTAACTAACTAAAAGTAATTATTTAGAACAAGTGGACATCTACATTGTCTTTTGTTCCTTAGAAGAATAATTGTTCAAGTATGGTAATTTTATTTTTATTGTTGACAGTAATATAATCCTTTAGGACTTATGTTAATAATGGTAGTTTCAGTATTTTCATTTGCATTTCCACTGCCATGTTTGTTTTCTAGAACGTTGCTTATAATGACTTATAATATCCCTGCCATGCAGCATCTCTTCCCATTTATCTAGTTATGTATTTATCAGTTTATTTCTTTGTATTTTAAGAGGCAGGTTCTCACTGTGTTGCCCAGGCTGGAGCGCAGTGGCTACAGGCACAGTCCCACTGCTGATCAGCTCGGGAGTCTTCACCTGCTTCATGTGGGAGCTGGGCTAGTTCACGCCTCCTTAAGCAACCTGGTGGTCCTCCGCTTGGAGAGATCACCATTTGATGCTAAAATTTGTTCAGACACCTGATCATCATAGCGCACCCCTGGGCCCCATGGATCCCCCCACCTCAGCCTCCTGAATAGCTGGGACTGCCCAGCCGTAGTTTTATTTGCTTTTCTACACTTCATTTGCAATGATAGATTCATTATTCCTTTAAACTGTATGTGTTGTCACAGACTCCTGGCTTAGTCTATGAATGTACCTCTATTTCCACTTCTAGCCTGGGGATCGGTTGTAGGTTCTCCCAGAGTTGCTGCTCAAGTGCAGAATAAAGCCATGAGCACAGATGGCCTTGGGCCCTTCTTGACACCTGTTTTTCCATGCATCTTTGCATGCTACTCTTCTTGCCACTCCTTAAAGGCTAACATTATCCACAGATTGGTTCTAGGTCTTCTATCCTGCTCCCAAGCTCTCTGTGAGCCTTTTATCCACTTCCATGAGTTTTCAGTAGCATTTACACGCTGGCTGATAACTTTCAAATATGTATCTGCAGCCCAGCTCCAACCTTTGGTACCAACCTCTCTTCACTGGCTCTGTGAACACTTAAAACTCAGCTGTCTATCTTCTCATTTTCCATTGTCTTCCATCTTATAAAACAATACCAACAGCCACCTATTGACTGAAGCCCGATTCTGTCTCCTAAATGTTGTGAATTTCTCTCTTTCCCTCCAGCTTAGCCTAAATGAGCACCAGCCTCCTAAATCAGCTGTTCATCTCTGGTCTTGACCTTTCCAGTTTTTATTCCACGCAATAATCAGGATGATACCTAGGAAAAACATGCACATTCGATTGTTCAAACATGCTTAAAGCCACACCCAAGACACTAGGATTGTTTGCCAGAGTCCTTAGAAAAATAAATTCCCTATGCTCTACTGCCTGTCCAGGCCTTTGAGGGCATCTCTCAAGAACAAAAGGGAACTCTCAGATTCTTATGCCAGAACCCTATGAGTCCTTGACGCATCTATCTCCCTTGCCTTCCATGTCCAGTGAATCACGAAATTCTGTATTCTTCCCTCCACATTACACCTTGCATGATTTCAGCTCTCTCCAGCTCTCCTACCGACTTAATCTAAACTTGGTGTCCCACGGAATATGGAAATTGCCTTCCAAGTTTAGGTCATTCTGTGTCTGCTCACAGCTGACATACTACATCATATTCTCCGCACTGCAACTCAAGTTACCTTTTAAAAATGCTGAACTAATACAATTATGTCCCTGTTTAATACCATCAGTGGCTTTCCATTGTTCCTAAAATAACATCCAGACTCCCAGCAAGATCTGAAGGAGCTTGTCCCTGGATAACTCTCCAGTGCCACCTCTTGCTGCCATCACCTGCTACCTGTCCACTGTCAATTGTATCAAGCTTCTTACTGACTCAAAACCTTTATGCCTGTGGTCTCCCCTGCTTGAAATGCTCCTTCCCCATGTTCTCAACTGGCTATTTACTCCTCCTCCTTTGGATCTTAGTTTAAATGACGGTTCCTAGGCCCTCACTCTAAATTTGGTTCCTCATTATAACTTCCCAGGAAGCCTATAGTATGCCTTCATGTGCTATAGTCACTTTTTATAATGTATCTGTATCTGTCTTATTAGAGGCCTGATTTCCTTTTTCCTCATTAGACTTCAGGCTACACCAGGGTAAGGCACATTCATTGCTGTAACATCAGCAACTAATACAGAGCCAGGAACACACTAAGTGTGCCATAGCTTTGCATTGCGTGAATGAATGAATGAATGAATGAATGAAGCAATTCAGAAAAAAGTCTGATAGATGATAACAAAATCCGAATAATGAATCCAAATTTCAGATATTTATTTCTCTCTTATACTAGCCATCCATGCAAGGCAGGTATCTTGGAGATTATATTGTTATAAATTGTAGTATTAAAAATTATAATAACTCTAGTAAAAACAGCAAATATAAGATTTTACAGTTACGTTTCCATTCTTCCATCTGATATTTGATGCATCTTTATGTAGTAGAAAGGCAGTTATTAACACCCAGATATTCCAAGTGAGCAATCTGAGAAGCCACCAAGGTCCGGCAGTGCAGGAGCTACAAATAATACCAGAGACAGGGAGAGGACTCCAGTCCTCTGTCTATCAATTCCATGTTCTTGATGGGTAATAACTGCTCAGGCTTTATAAAGGATAATTATATTGATACTTGTTTTGCTATATTGCTATATTGATTGATGGCAGCAGCTTCTTTTCTCCTTTCAGAGAGACGGCATGAAGCCGCATTGTATTGTATATAAACATTTAGTGTTTGATTCTGTGCCTTCCTCCTTTTTATCGTGCCACCTTTAATTATCCTCAGTTTCAGAGTTCTTTAAATCACTCCACTTTCTTTGATATTAATGAAAAACTAGAGCAGTCCTCTTCCTGTTGTTTTCTCAAGTGGTTAGTGTCCTTTCCATCTCTTTAATTCCCAGTCCACTAGCGCAGATTTTAAGGGCTCACATCCCACTCCGTGCTACTGTTTTAGTATTTTCACTGGATAATACTCAAACATGGCTTTTGCCTGATTCACGTTTCTGTTACATTGAGATTGGGCTTCTATTCCTTTGTAAGTCATGGCAATAATTCATGAAGTAAAAAGTATTGAAGGTTGACTGCATAAATAACCAAGAAGAGCTTGGTTCGCCACTTTTTTGTCCCTTAATGGTGGAAAATTTGGTCAGGGAGGGCGTCTGGGAGTGGTGGATTCTTTTCTAAAATGTTAATACTTGGAGTACAGCCCAGATAATTAACAGAATTCTAAACTGTTCTTTTCATGAAGATTTATAATGTCCCAAGTGAAAATCATTTTTTATTACTCATAGGTAATTCTTTATTCATGCATTTTCTGTTACATTTTCTTATCACTTAGTCTTCAAATAGTTTTATACGTCATTCAGACTCTGTCTTACATAGCTATGCTATTACCAATCAGTCCTCTTCTTATTCATCGTTCTAGCTTCACTAATTAGGTTGAACCACATATTGTCAATTTTGTAGATCAAATACAGTTGAATATTAGCAGTTTCATATGGATTAACTGAGTGCTGTACCGTTTTCTGTAGG